ATCTAAGATTAATTTAAAAAAAATGAAAATGGTAAGAATAATAAATTAACTTAAGACACTTACATAAATATGATAGTTACAAGCCATAGGCAGTTTTTATGGGGACTTTGAGTCCAAACGTTGTATTCGCGATGAACAAATCCAGCAGATACAGCAACTGCAATAAACATTTACGTAAAAAAATTCAACAAAAACAAGAATAAGTGTAAGTCAGTTCACACAAAAGGGATATACAAACCAAAATTCAAAAGGATAATAATAACGGCAAAATTCTGGGCGGCAAAGACTGTGTTTCCATGCTCAGACCAACCCCCAACCACTGTGGAGTTCTGTCCTTCGATAGGCAAGTAAAATAGCATACATTCGCAGTTACGCATATAACATATGTCTGTACAATAACTAGCTAAAGTACCAGTGAATGTTAATAGCACAAAAAATATCACAGGCAAAAATTTGGTGCCATAACACCACATCGTAAAAACCACAACCTACGAAAGCAAAAAATTAACAATTACTAATAGAAGTTAAGAGTATGGTTTAATCCTTTTTTTAATTCGCTTAATAGTTTACCCTTCAAAATAAATTATCCTATATATTTATGTTCAGGAGTAGTAGGTACACTTTTCAGAAAAAAAATTGTGCTTGTTCAAAACTATTTTTACTGACCTCTGAATTAAATACCGTATGTCTTTTATTTGGTGGTCTTTTCATAACATCCGGATCAGTTGGATTACCAATCAAGGACACACTCAAAACAGGTATAATAACGCAACATAGCCACAAGACCTGGCCAGGTGTTAAAATAGGGGGCAGCATAAATAAAGCTGCAGCAATTTGTAAACAGGTTGTCGTTGCACAACAGCACAACCATAGTTGAACTGAAAAATAAAAATACTATCATTTTTTTACGTCTTCGATGGGAGCTAAGTCGTTTAGTGGTGGAAGTTCATAAAATAATTAAAATTAACACATGTATTTTACCACAATTCCAAAAACAGTACATAAAATGTCTAGCGTCCATTATAAGGTAAGGAAACAATATAGGGTCCTCCCTTTTAATAGACAAGGAGCAGCTAATGCTATTTAATTTTCTTGATAATTCTACGGGACTTATCCCCTCTGTGACCGGCTTAAAGGTCTTTACTTTTTGGCACACTTGTGGATACAAAGGCTCCACTGCAATACTAAGAGGAAAGAAAATATATGAAGGAATTGCACAAATACTGTACATTTACCTGGCATCGGCTTTCATGAAAATTCCGCCATTTTCGAAATTTGCAGATGAGCCAAAAACACAAATAACTTCACCATAATCTTGCATTATGTGCACCATCTCTTTAGTTGTTGCTGCAGTACAGTCGGTGAACAGAGATACTAGCAGTGGCACGTTATCTATATTCTCAATGTGGGGCCTTATTTTATCGATTCCTCTTGGTAACTTAGCCTTCAGAAATAATTAAGAAGTTACTAAAACTACCTTAATAAAACCAATAAACAAATATATAGGCGAAACGATAGTTTGATTAATTAATTACCTTTTCACCCTGTAATGGTTTGAATTATTACAATTTAAAAACTACTTTACATTAACAAAAAATACAAATTTTAAATTAAAATCAAATATAAATAAAATAATGTAGAAAACTGAAAATCAATTGCACAGTAAACGTCCTTATCATTTTTACCTTGTTTTTTATGTTTTTTTTAATGTCGTTTCAAAACAAAACCAACCTTGTACTACTCCCACAATCTTAACCAGTGGTGAAAGATCTATGAAAATCCTTTCAATAGTTTTTGCAGAATTCGCTAACAGACAGAACAATTTTAATATTTGTATATTTTAGACATTGTAGGTGCCTAAATAAGGTAAACCGGAATCTTTTTGACAACTTTTCGTATGCTGGCTGTTTTATATCACAATTGATTATCTCAGCAACTGTTAGTGTTATCAACTTGAAATTTGACACTACGTTTTTTTACTTACCCTGTTGCTCATATCAAAATTTATAGGAGCACTTTGATCAGAACTATCTGTGAGACAGCTTAACGATTGCCATTCATGAGAAGTATTTAAGTCTACTGTGCGAATCTGGACACTGTCCTGACTAGTGGTGTTTTTAATTTCTTGTAAAGGTTGCTCCGGATCATCACTCTCTATTTCCCTGATGTTAGACTCCTTTTCTTCCTCTTCAAACTTGACAACAGAATATTCTACATTTATAGCGCTTGGTGCAGAATAACTTAGCATCTTTGACGAATCCAAATTGCTATAATTTTATTATTTTACTACTATTTGTTTTTGTAGTAAAGGTAGGTAATACAAAGTAAAATGTATGAAAAATGAAATGAGAAATCAAAATAAGAAAGTAATGAAGAAGCTGCAAAAGCAAATTATTTAAAGGATTTTTTTTAATATTTCAATATATACTATTGTTCTGTAAATTGATATTACTTTTTTAAACATCCTCGTTTCTTTAATCTCTGAAATATAATCTTATTAAAAAATTACGCATGCGTCAAATGATTTCTACTTGTTCACCATTACCATATACAATGTATGTTTATAAATAACAATACTAATTATTTTACTTTGCAGGTAAGCGATTCTAAATTTATTAAAGAAAAATTCTAAACCAATGCATTAAATGCAACAAATTTAACTATTAACTAAAGTTAATAAACGAGAGTGAGACGTAAATACATAATTATATTTGATAATAAACTAAAAGCTAGACATAACTCACATTTCTATTTGCTACTTTCATTATTTTTTTAGCACACTCTAGCAGAAATTATAGTGGGCAGAAAGCACTTAAAGCAGTAAGTCAATAAATTTGAAAAATTTAACATGCATTTTTAAATAGGAAATATTTCTTTACAAATTTTCTTACATTAATATTTTTTCTTTGGTTTTGAATATTTAAAAAACTCGTCTGTGTCCGTATCTATAGTACGCGTTAGAAATTATACTTCTTTGGTGTATTAATTAATTATGTACTTATTTAAACAATCCTTTCGATTATGACCATTTTTCGTTACCTGTGCGCGCGCAACTTCCATTGCAAGCTAAAATTTTACTCTCAACAACCCAAAAGAAGTATAACATCAAAAGTATTTAATTTCAATTTAAAAATCAATGTTTCTGGTTGTAATTTTCTTTGCTATTAACGTAGTATTAATCATTGGAAGTACAGCTTTCTAGGTTATACTTGAATTGTTGTTATTTAGATAAATGTTTCAAATGCAATTTCTTTTTTTTTTTAAGGTCTAAAAATGTCGATGAGTAGAAAGAAGAAGACGAACCTAAAACTACAAGTATCAGAAGATGCCCCCGCAATGTAAGTAGTAGAATAACATTCCAGAGACTCTTACGTTTAGCCTTACTTTTAGCATACCTCCTGCTAATTTAGACAAGAAAACGACAATAACAATTGGTGACAAAACTTTTATCGTTGAAGCAGATGATTTAGAGAAGATATGTGATCTTGGTCGAGGTGCATATGGTGTTGTAGAGAAAATGAAACATATTCCTAGTGGAACTATCATTGCAGTCAAGAGAATAGCAGCAACAGTAAACACACAAGAACAAAAACGATTGCTTATGGATTTGGACATTTCTATGCGTAGCAGTGACTGTCCATACACTGTTCAGTTTTATGGGGCACTGTTTCGAGAGGGAGATGTTTGGATTTGCATGGAAGTAAGTGAAGTAACTTTGTACTATCCTTTTTTTTAAGAGGCACTTTTTTTTTAAATTGCATTTGAGGTCATGGACACAAGCCTTGATAAGTTTTATGCCAAAGTTTACAAGCATGGAAGAAAAATACCAGAAGATATCCTTGGTAAGCACTAAACTTTATATAACTGATGAAAATTTTTATAATTATTTGGGAATGTTTACAGGAAAAATTGCATTAGCTGTAGTCAGTGCATTACACTATCTTCATTCACAGTTGAAGGTGATACATAGGGATGTTAAGCCTTCAAATATTTTAATAAATAGAAAAGGGGAGGTAAAAATGTGTGACTTCGGAATTAGTGGTTATTTAGTAGACTCAGTTGCTAAAACAATTGATGCTGGATGTAAACCCTACATGGCAGTAAGTAATTGAAATATTTATATAAGATAATTAACAATTCCTTTTTTTAAAAAATAAAANTTTTGACGAATATCTCACCTTAATATTATTGATAATTAACAACAATTTACAATTTAAAAGTATATAATAAGTATCTAAGAAGGTGTTTACTTCCGTCAAATAATATTCAAAGGTTTTACTAGAAGTCAAACATGAAATCAAATATTTGGATAATAGTTTTAATATCAGTAAATTTTGCAATCGTATCAGGTGATCACCTCTGAGATATGTTTTCCAATTTTATAATGTGATATGTCACCTTTTAGCTTTATTTTCGCCTAAAGTTAGTTATAATAAAGTAAGTTTCATTAAAAGGGGTGAACCAGAATATGTGTAAGTATTAAATAAAATTAACGTGTAATTGATAGGAAAAAATATGCAGATTGATATTTCAGAGACGCTGAAGATAATTATAATGAAGAAACCGAATACGTTAACATTACATATTCCACGGTAAGCAGATGAAAAAATTAAATATATATATAAGGCAATTAAATATTAACTTTTTTTCAAAGATTATAGACTCAATGTCAACTTTGTCGAAACTGAATCCAGAAACAACGTCTCTAATAAAATTGGGAAAATCATGCGGCGGCTTAAAAGATATTTTAGCTTTGAGTATCCAAAAGCCTAATTACAATCCAAAATTTAGTAATACCATACTATTAACAGCAGGGATTCAAGGAGACGATTGGCAATCAGTTTTTACTGCTTTCTATATTGCAAAGCAATTGATAGAATATAAAGAAAGCTTGAAAATTATGTTTGGTATTAATACAAAATGGTTAATTATACCGATACTCAATCCCGATCTTTACACGAACGATTTTCAAGTAAGTCTTACAAACTAAAATATAAATATCACCATTACATAAAGAAAAAAATCGCATTTTAGGGTGGTGATGTTTCAAAATGTTTCAAAAACAATAACTGGAACCGTTATGGAAAAATTTTGGATAAAGTTAAAGAAGAGAATGTTACTATTATTATTCACTTAAACAGTGAAAAAGTTTGTTCAATAAATTATTCCAATTATTTACAACGCAACGAGTTGAATGCAAAATGGAATAAGGGAAACAATTTAGCCAAAGTCTTGCAAAACGAAAGCTATTTAATTTGTAATATAAATATTCAAGAACCAATCATAAATAACACAAACATTTCGAGTAAGTTGCATCTTTTCAAAACGAAAATTTCGCTGCTTTTTAAACATGAAAAAATTGGCTAGTCCTCTACTCCTTTCTAAAGTAAAATCCCACATCCTTAAGTATCCGAATGAAAACCGTAACCCCTATAGGATCACCCGTGTGTCTGTCTGTCCGTCTGTCACAGTCAATTCGCTCCGAAAAGAAATTTTAAGAAAAGTTCTGCAAACTGTAGCGTCTGACATATCAAATAAAAGGGCTTTTTGTAAAATTGTTTCAGTTATTTAAGAAAATAGTTAAAAATTGACCATTACACCTCTTATCTCCGAACCTACTAAACCTAAATTTTTGAAAAAAATACAGAAAATAGTTTTTCACTTATAGATTACAGAAAATTAATAAGAAGTCTATGGTCTAAACATAACGTGGAAAATCTTTCAACAAAACAATATACGCGAGAACATGTTTTTTTCAACTACATTGTTGTTGGTTCTCGAATTAGGGTTCCATACGTCCGAATGCAAAAGGGAACCCTTATAAGGCTACTCGTGTGTCTGCCTGTCCGTTTTTATTTTTAACTCGCATACGGCTCTGCTCTCCTAGTCTTTCTAGTATTTCCACTATATAGTATACAGAGCCGCACTCTAAACATGGACGTTTAACTATCTTTTTCATTGTAGATTATTAATTACACGATAATAGTTATTTATTAATCAACAAAATTTTTCTACTGAGGTAGAATTTATGAGACTGAACGATAGGGTACTTTAAATTACTCAATTGGTCCAATCTTTATCAATAATCGTATTTCTATATTTGAAAACCTCAAAACTAGGGTGTTTAACTATATAAATCCAAAAGAAAATTCGAAAATCAACTCATGTTAAGAATAAATAATTTTCCATGTTACAGCAAATGCAACTTTCGAGGAATGGATTTCTAAAAATGTGGATGAATCTCATTCTGTCATCGTACTATCACTTACAGTATTAAATGCAGCTCCACTTCAGTATAGCAACTCAGTTGAACTAAGAACCGTTTTGGCAACAGTCCAAATTATAAAAAAAATTAAAAAGTTTTTTTCTCAGACATATTTTCAATTCACAATCGTAGACAACTGGCGAAATGAAATTGACAATTATTTGCACAGGAGGTTCCCTCATGAAAGATCATATTATGGAACTGGTGCAAAAATAAATGTTTGTCAAACGCTATTGCTATTACAACTTATCGTGGTGTATGTACTGAATAAAATTAAATATTAGATACTGTCACATTTTATAACTATGCATCCCTACATTTAACTATTACGCATTTTATTGAAGTGAAACTTCTTTACGCACAGTAGGGTAAGTCAGTTTCATGCGAGTTGCTATGTAACGAAATCATGCAACGGATGTCCCCCCCCCCTCTACTCGGCCACGTAGTCGAGTTTGTAGTGGGGATCGCTTGAGTCGTGAGCGTGCTTCAATGCAACGTTCGTTACAGACAACTCCGGCATGTATAGTGTAAAATTTAAATTCATAGTGTACGAATAACACCATTAAACCAATTCCTTAAGGATGTTTGGGAGGTACAAATGTAGACAAGAATACATAAAATTAGAAATTCGTGATTATTTAGGTTTTGCAGCATATCATGAGGTAAATAAATACTATCTATACTAAAAAAAAAAGTATACGGTTTGACAAAAAATTTTGATTTTGGCCAACAACTTTGAATAAAATAAGAAATAACAAATAATATGGAAAATTTGTAACTGACTTTTGGCAGTGAATATGCCTTGATTTCAACTTCGAAACAAAAAAATATTTAGTTTCAATCTCTATTAATAATGAGCGTAAAACTTTTTAATATGTTTAAATAATAATTAAAACTTTAAAATTGCATTTATTTCAGACAATTATAAATATTATCATTA